AATTCATCAGAATTATTCTCAATTTCTCGATTTTGTCTGTTCACAATGTTATTACTGTTAACGGTAATATCACTATAGTCATTCAGATCAGTACAACACCATAGTTGGATTTTTGAATTCGATTTAAAAGAAAAAAACCATCAATAAAGCAGATATTTCCGAATGAATGAAGAAGCTTGGGATGTAAGTTATTATGGGAAAGACCAATGATGAATTGGAACGACAATTGGAAAGTCATTCATCGATTAGTTGAGATTTCCAAGAAAATTCAAAAGTTTTATGAACTTATTAGAAGCTCAAACATTCTCTAACTGGAAAGTTGTTCTGTTTTAATGCATACTTTAGCATATTGTCCTGAATTTATGAACTCATTTCAACAGAATGAATATCAGTCTCGGACATTCGGTGCAACGTTTTTTATCTACCTCTGTCTCGTGTACCGCAACCAAACAGTAGGGAGATCAAATGTGGATCATCGAGGAATATCACATGGAATCGTTCAAAATGCATGATGACTCAAATAGATGTTGGGCTAGCAATATCACATGGGATCATTCAAAATGCATAATGGCTAAAATAATTATCCGGGATACAATATAGATGAAGCATCATGGTAGGATGAAGAACTGTTCGAAAAAATAAAGTAATACATGAATGGAAATGAAATAAAGTACTCACTTGAGAATAGTGAAAAATTAGTCGGTTTCTTATGAGTTCCTTTATGAGTGTTAATTGGAAACTCATGAAGATATCGTTGAAGATATTTTGAGCCTCTTTGCGTCATTGATGACGATTTAGGCATAGTTGCTTTGTAATACAGATTCTGCATTAATTTATCGATACAATTTCATTCTATTTTATCGCACTCAATTTAAAACGCCCATGTCAAAATACCAACGAATTTTCATCAACATTCACAGCAATTACTATGCAGTGTCATGCACAAATTTGTTTCGAATAATTCACATTTCAAACATTTCGCAAACAATCTATTTCTCGACCCTATTAGACTTCGTTCTGCATGCAATCAAATGCTTCTCATCATTATCAGTTATTCTTGATGACGATAATGATAAATCATAACTGCATCATTCCTTGATAGAGGAATGGATTTATCATTATCGTTATCAAAATGTCAATATCGTTATTATTATTATCAAGATTTTCCGATGTCAACAGCAATCGCTTAGCTCAACTCATTGGCAAAACGAAGAGCTATTGAAAAAAGACTCAAAATGATGAAAATTTTCATCTTTAGAACTGCTTTAACATAGAAGCACAGAGAAAAAAGCAACTCGCGAAACTACTGTAAGCTTTCGCTCGACCACCTTGACTAAAAGAAATGTTTCGTTGTTGGTGTTGAAGACTCGAATCTAAAGACTCGAACCCTAGTATATGCCTGAAGTAAGGCCTGAACTGAGTGAATCGCAGTGTTTTGTTGCATAATTTTGATGTGGTGATCGAGCGAATCAGCCAATTGAGCATTGCAAGTTAGCGGCAAAACATCAATAAAGCAGTGAACTAGTGCTAAAATGACATCAAGTTTTAACGAGCCATACTCAGTCAGCACATAATCCTGATCACTGCGAAACTGAACCAGAATGAATTGACACGAAAAGTGAGTGTTACAAATCGATCTTCGATTATCGATTATGCGTCAGATTGAACCAGTCAGCCGTATGAACCAAATCCTCTTGAATCAGTTAGCACATAGATAGATTTCTGTTTGTCGCTATTAATAACGTTAGAGCATTGCTTCTCACGCTCTTACCTTTAGTGACTACTTGGACCGTATAGCAGGCGTTCAATCCCCTCTCTCCAGCAGCCCACACAGCAGTAACCCCACTCTCCTCCTCTGACAATCTATTACTTTCCTACGATAAATCGGCATAAAATCAGCAATTTCAACAACTAACCAAGAGGTTTGCAGCAGAGAATTTGTCAGTGGTATCGAACGAATCAATTCCTTGCAATCAAGCAAACATTTTGCAAACATTATCAGACGAGTATGAAGAATTGTAAGCAAAAATATTCGCTAAACCAATTTCCTTAATTCCAGTCATCCTCAATTCCTTCCCAGGGAGAATTTTTCCCACCTTTCCTTCCAATGAGAACCACTCCATTAGGAATTACTGCAAAGCTAGCTTAAAAGTATTGCGCGAAAGGTGCTGTGAATGACTTGGCTACTCCTAACAGGAAGCTTCAAGAAAGCATGGAGTTGGCAGATGACGGGAGTGGTGCAACCAAAAGTTACCAATCTTCTTCTCCCACAGGAAAGTTTCAGTTCGCTCTTCTAAATCTTAAGCTTTGACTGCTGACCATATGGCACATCAGGAAACAATCAATCGAACTGATATCAGCAAAAAACCAGTGCGAGTTAATGAGACGGCGAGTGGAAGTTTGCTTGCAGGTCATGATTAGTTGAGGGTAGATCAATTCTGAGGAATTAATTCGAACTTTTGTTGAATTTTAATATGGTGATTGACATGAATACAACTGAAACATTCAGTATGCGTTTGCTAAACGAGTTTTTCATCATTCACATTGTGTTCGAAAATAACAGCCGCGAATTCAGTCGAGAGAATTTGATTGATAAGCAGCAGCAAGAGCAGAATTTATAAAAAAAGCATAATGATTGAACTGATATGGCGCATTTCGAACAGTACACAATCGGTTCATGTGAAACACGGAACGCATTCATCACTTCGCAATACTTAACAACGACTATCAACTACTTAACAATACTACTTAACAATGACTATTAACATCGTTATTTTGAATTCTTCAGAAGGAAATTCAGCTAATTAAAATCAATTGTAGCAAGATACGAATGGAGTATGATGGTTGAAGGAACAGTAGAATGAAGAAGATCCATGGAACAACAACGTACTGAAGCGAATGCTCTCAACTGGGAACACCTTCAGTGAGAGGAATAATAGTCGCTTTGTAATAGCTGATGAATGTTATTGTTGGTGTGATAAAGTCTTATCGCTATTTTTTTTNNTTTTTTTTTGCTATTTTACGAGTGTGAGGGAGGAGTGTTTGATCATTGAGATATTTAATTTTTATCAACTACACAACATGATTGTGGAATGTATGATATGAACAAATCCAACTTACTTTCATGCGTTGATAATTTCATTGGTGCATTGTAATTTGACATCCACTCCCCCAGCAGTTGTTTTGAAGAGATCAACAAGTTATCAACTGACTTCAGGTTTCGCTTCGATATCTTGCCAGCAGAACTAACCATTTCGTTGACACTCGAGTAATTCGCTCGTATCGCACATCCAGAGAAATTCTTTGAAATGGTTCGAATTTGATTACGCAATGGTCACCGGTCTACGGTTCGTTCAGTTATGAACAGATTAAGTTTTGAAATGAATCAAAATGGAATCTGATCAACTATCATCTGAAAATGTCTATGGGTCTTTTTTGTTTCTATAATACTGAAAAGATATTCATCTAAACAACTCAAAAATTAGCACTCAAGTCGTTATTTTCTCACACTCTACTCCTTCGTCAGGTTCCTGTTATGTCGACAGTCATTAATCATAACAGATCGTCAACAAAATGAACACCGTTTACAGTTGAATAACCTCATTAAAAATGCCTCAAAACAGACTCAATATTTTTAACTGACGGCTTTCAGTGCGCAAGTTTGGTGTTGTAGTATTGCTGGATGAAAATCGCCAAGAGTCCTAATATGCAAACAATTTTGTAATCATATCACAAAACAGCATCAATCATTCAAGTTCTTAACTTTTTCAGTAATAGCGAATAATTTCAATAAAAAAATTTGACCATCACAATTATTCATTGATCAAGCTTATCACAATCAGGAATGCTCTAAAGGACGTCAATATCCTGGAGTGGTGTCGCAGATTGAATGCTTGATAAAACTAGAAATTCATTCGCCGAATAGCTCTGCCATGGAAACAATCTTGAAACGTCACGTCTTATCAAACAAAGTCATCTATAAAAGTTCTGCTGAGGACTTGAATAGAAAGATTCTGAGTGAAGTTTACAGAGTTGGACTTTTCAATGAAATGAACAGTGCTGATTGCTTGTGTCATTACATTATCCAACCAAAAAGCTCATCATAAAGCACTCTTTATAACGCTTCATTCACTCCGAATTATAACAACTACATCGATGAATCTTTTTTCACTTTATTCAATTGTAAATAAACCATTTGAACACAGCCGGTTTTCACACATTTTTGGTGTTTTTTGAATACTGTCAGTTATTGGTTTCATTTATTCTGTTACCTTCATGTAATATTCACATCGTACACATTTTTATAACTACAAGGAACAGAGTTTGGAGAATGTTCAACGGAAATGCATCATTCGAGATTGAACAATTGCCGACTTCAGCCTGTAATTGACTCAGAATGCTTTTCAGATTATCAAGCTTTTATGTCTCTTTTCATACGGCTTCAGAAGATCATCATTCAATTATGTGATAGTGGCATGAATTGGAAACTAAAGTAAGTATTCTGGCAAGCATATGATCAACTAAATAAACTTGCTCCATTCCGGATATTGGTATCTTCGTCGACTTCTTCGTAACGAATGACATTCTTAATTTTCTTCAATTGTCTCCAACGATCGGTTGATTAGCGTTCATGAAGTGTCGAAGTACATTACATTTATTGCACAGATTTCAACATTATTTATCATGTAAAGAGATCAATTTAAGGAATAATGAACAAATTCACTCATTCATTATGCAACTGCTTGAGGAAGTCTGCTCGATAGTAGTAAAATGGCATTAAAATTGACAAAGCAGCAACACATTCAAAAAATACAATTTAGTGCAATAAGCTCTGAGAAACGTTAAGACGCTGACTATTGAATCACTCATTGGCGTACTCAGTTCTGTAAAGAAAAAGGAAAATATAAAGATTGCTCGTCGTTCATTTTCAATGCTTGTCGCTGCGATCGCTTTAATCTGTTCGAACAATTTTTCCATATTTTCACATTTAACTTTTCCCTACTAAATTTAATGATTCATCCAACTAATATCACTCGTCAACAACCTTGCTATTGTCAGTAAAATCAACAAATTGTAAAAAAAATCCTCGAGAAATTTTCAGATGATAATCATTTCGTACAAATACAATTCAGAGACAATAGAATTTTTCAATACTACGCAGAATGACATTCAAATATTGTTTGCTTTCAACTGTTGAGTATTCATCCAGAGTCACGCTGAATTCCTTACCATTCTGTCGAGAATCCTTTACATTTTGAATAATGATTGACTTTGTTGTTTTACAATAGCCCATTAACGAATCTTTGACAGTATATGGAGAATTGGATAGCGGAGTTTTGCTGGATTGAAAAACTTCATGAAAAACGCTTGTCAAAAGAGTGTTAGCACTGGGGGCAAAGTTTGGTGATCATTTCATTCAGCGGATTACTAGTTGGTGCAGGATTAGATCAAAGGAATTTGGTAATCGGCGGGTTCAAGAATTCTGGCCTCTGGAGCATTTGTTTCGTTCCCGAGTATTTCATTGTGCCTCGACTTCAAGTAAACAAGTAGTCCAGTTCACATTCTACAGTTATTGTGGTATATTAAAAAACAGGATGCGTGAATTTCACATAGGCAGTCTGAATAAGCTCATCCAGATTCTCAAACAACCTGGTTATCCCGATATCTACTAAATTTAATGATTCATCCAACTAATATCACTCGTTCACAACCTTGCTATTGTCAGTAAAATCAACAAATTGTAAAAAAAATCCTCGAGAAATTTTCAAATGATAATCATTTCGAAATTAATTAACAATTCATTTGTGAGTAATAACAATGTTCTATAATAACTTGCACTTATATACCATAGGTAGATTATACAGTAACTTATTTGATTGAGATATTGCAATCGTGAAGTGATTCCGTTAGAATGTTGTATTTGCATAGCTGGAGCGATGTTAATGTGCTGTTTACAATGCGATTGTGTGTTGGAAAACTGTACCGTAGATATGATTGAAACTTACACGTTTTCGCTAAACGTGGCAGGTGGATGCTTGACGATCTTATCCAGTGTGAGTGGATAACGATTAGTTTTGTGGTATTATTATTGTGTGTTGATGGTGTTTTTGGTGGTATCGATCTGTGGGAATGATCTTTTTTGTGGCTTTGTTCCTTCGCACGAACGATTGATGATTGCTCATTATATTTTGTGCTTCTGAACGTTCGCAGAATCAATCCACGGGTCTTCTGAAGCCCTAATGTTGATGAATATGAGAATCAATGTATCAGTTTCCGTAAAACTAGTACGACAGAAATCCAGCATAAGCTCAGTTTTTGCTGATAATACTTATCGATCACCTGCAAGAGTCACAACATGACTTATTCAGGAGCCTTACGGTTTAGATTTCGTTTTCGAGTGTGCAGACAACGTTATTGTTTCAGTGTGATGGTAAGAGAATCCGCTAAAAAATGTCTACGATATATTTCACCACGTCGAAAAGAAAATGTATTGAACATGATTCTGTTAATCGTTCTCTCGGTTATGGTCATTTATTATTTTCAAGTTCGATTCAAACGATACGAAATGCCGAAATATGAGGTGATATTTCAATCATATTTTCAACTGAACAATGCCAAAATCTTTCATTTTATCACAACTTTCTGTTGCCCAACTCCCTCTCCACTCTGAACGAGCTCTTGTTGAATCGTTTATTCGGGTGGCGAGAGCATTCAATTTTTTTCCTTTTTTAGTGAATATATTAATTTTAATAAACTTTTTTATTTGAATTTAAGCAATGAATTCTTCGTTGAATGACTCCTTTCAACGTCATGAAATGAATAGTTTCGAAGCCTTCCTAATGTCTAGAATATTTATTTGAGACAGTAGGAAGTTTAAATATGAGGTTATCAGCTATTACCAGCTGAATCAATGTTGAGTAATCGTCCTCAAAAGGTGCTATATCTATCAAAGTGCTATCTTCAAGGGAGTAACTTGGCCAGAATCATCGTTCCAAATGCAGCACGTTATTCCTGACTATTCAAAACACCGATCTGGACCAGGTGAGAATGGCAATGCTGTGTCTTTATCTGGTGAAGAAAAGGAGCGAGGTGATGCTGACATGAAAAAGTGGTTCATGAATGTCGTTGCGAGGTATCGTGCATCACATTCCATTCCTCTCTTTCATTATGCCATCATCCACAAATTCCTTATTTCCTCTAGTTTCTACTACTGAATCCGGTGCATTCTATTATCAGTGAACGCCACTGGAATTATGCGTATGTTCTAATTTCCTAATAAAACAGTCAGCCTTGATCTGCTTCATAGTTCCGTGAATTTACAACGTGCACTTCATCATTGTAATGAAATAGATTAGAGTGTGTTGTGGTCAGGTAAAGAGAACTGATGGGTTAATTGCTGATATTTAAGTGACAAGGTATCGTTGGATAGAAGTTTGCCAGATACACGCCATCCGAAATGTCGTCTAGTGAAGTACGATATCGATGATCTGCCTCGTACTTCTGTCATTATAATCTTCACCGATGAGGCTTGGACTCCGTTACTTCGAACTGTGCATTCTGTCATTAATCGAACTCCACCGCGATTGTTAGAAGAGGTCATTCTGCTAGATGATTTCAGTCAACGAGGTATTTATTCTATTGCAGTTTGCAGTTCCATCCCCAGTTTTTACTCAGAGGAAAAACTAATTATCTAATAGTGGTCTATCTGACATCAATGCAGAAGTGATGTTTACGATGGGAAACGTTTTGGAATATTTTCAGATGAACTGAAAGGAAAGTTGAACGATTACATCAAACGATTTGGCGGATTGGTGAAGTTGATACGTAAAAATGAACGACAGGGATTGATCAGAGCCAAATTAGAGGGTGCTAAATTGGCAGTTGGCGAGGTGATCGTGTTTCTTGATTCACATTGTGAAGCGAATGCTGGATGGTTGGTTTCTTGTACTCACCGACTTGTCACTTTTTTTGATTGAATATTCATTGCTGGATGTATGAAATATTAAATTGAATTGTATATGTGGAAGTATCGTTGTGGTATTTGTATGGCGGTGTTGCTTGATCGATGAACTGATTCAGGCTTGAACCAATCTTGGCTCGGATAAAGACAAAGCGATCAGCAGTGGTGTGCCCAATAATTGATTATATAGAGGCTGAGACGATGCGATACAGTGGAGGTGGCCACGGTGATGCGGTTGGTGGATTTTGGTGGAGTTTACATTTCAGATGGGATCCGATCGGTGAGGCAGAGCAAAAACGACGCAAATCGGTCACAGAATATGTCCGGTTTGTTACTTATCGTAATCGAAGTTGCAATCTTCTCGAATTCAATTTTTCACCATCCGTTCTCTATTATTTTAGGTCACCAACAATGGCGGGTGGTTTATTAGCAGCAAATCGTAAATATTTTCTTGAAGTCG